GCAGGTCCTTTCGCAGGACAGGCTCAAAGAGGTCATCCATACCCTCAACAGCAGCCAGCACCACAGGGACAACCAGTCCCAAACATACCACCTTATGGACCAAGAGGACCCCAGGCACAAGGTTGTCCACCAAATCTTGTGTTTGTTCCTCTAGTAGTGGTTCAACAGGCACAGAATATGGTCCCTAGGGACCAAATTGCTGATATTGTTAAAGAGATGTGTGGACCGATGGCTCGTTGGTTCGAAACTCCTGTGTACAGGAATCGTACCCATAATGGGTAGATAGGGTACATGAATACCCAAGAGATTTCAGGATACTAGATTTTGCCCTTTTTTATGGGAATGGAAACCAGTTAACAGTGGAGCACATTGCTAGGTTTGCTGCTCAATGCGGTGAATTTACTAATAATGACTATATGAAGTTAAGATTATTTCCAAATTCTCTAACTGGGGGAGCATTTGTATGGTATATTAACCTTACACCTAGCTCTATCCAAACTTGGCAACAAATGAAAGAGGCATTTCATACCCAATTCTTCCAATCGGAGCCAGAGGTTTCCATGGCAAACTTGGCAAGATTAAGTCAAAGGCTTGATGAAAAGGCTACTCAGTTTATTTCCAGATTTAAAAGAGCACGAAACAAATGTAGGGTCATTCTACCAGAGCCAGAATTTGTGAAATTGGCTCAAAACGGCTTAGAGTTTAGGCTTCGAAAGAAGTTTGACTCAACTGAGTTCATAGACTTGGTGGAACTAACTTATAAGGTGTCTAGGTATGAAGCATTACTAGAGGAGGAACAAGATCGAAATAATGCATCATACAAGACATATTATAAAGATCCTAATTATGAGATTGATGCAGCAGAGATTGTGGGGAAAGAACCTGTGATCTGTGAGGCATTAACTCATAAGGACACAACAATTGACCAGCAGTTTAAAAAGAAAGACCTTCGTAGGAAATACTCTTTCGATTTAACGAAGGCAGATGACATTTTTGATCATTTGCTTGCAGCCAACTTCCTTAAGTTACCAAAAAGAGTCAAAATTCCATCTCCAGATGAACTTAAAGGAAAAGTGTATTGTAAATGGCATAATTCTTGGTTTCACTTGACTAAGAACTGTATTGTTTTTGGAGACAGGATCCAAGAACAAATTCGGAAAGGAAGTTTGAAATTCCCAGCCAAAGCTGAAAAGGCAGGGGGATCGACAGTAATCCATTTCTAGAAATTGGAGAGGTGGCAGCCAATGTCATTATGCCAGACTTTTAGAACCTGTCTTTGAAAGAATTAGAAGAAGTTAATGTGCAGATGCATGTGGCCAACCAGACAACTATCGAGAAAGACACTGAAAATCTACCAGCTATTGGACAAGGTTTCTCACACTAGAGGGAAGACTCTGATGAAGAAGCACTGGATAATGATTCCTTAGAGGCAGTTGTAATGCAAAGGATGTGTCCCAGGTGCAGACTAAGCTACAAGTGGTTGAAAGGGCTTCTAATTGATGGGAAGCACTATTACAAGGATGTGCAGAGACGTCCTAAACCAACCAATGCTTACAATAAAAGGCCATATCCATCTGGTGTTAGGCAGCAGCCATTAAT